CACACACACACACACAAAGGGTGGGAGGGAGGAAGAGAAAGAGGAAGTAAGGGAGGGAGGGAAGGTTATCTGAGTCATGTGCCTAATGCTATCGTAATAATGCTGGGAGCGAATAGCGTCATTTTAGACGTTTGTTTTTCCAAATAGAGTTGTCCAATGTCCGCATCTTTAAATTGAGAGACTTAAATGATGATTGTTGAAGGATCTTCCAAGTACAAATTTAGGAATCTATAATTCCACTGGGTCAAATTAAAATTAAAAACACTTCATAATGATCTTATTGCTATTATAGTGAAGAGTAACTGTCATTTCCAAAATGCTGTGGGACATTTTACAGCACAGTATAAGTTAAAGTCATAAGGCAATGAAGTGACATTTGCCTCTGGTCCTATTTTAAAGCATTCATTTCTTTTTTTCCCCCAACTGCCCTCAGTCTCCAAAAGATCCAAGGAAACCTGAGTGGTGTTGACTGAGGAGCCTAAGATATCATTACTGACAGACGAATTAGTGAAGCCGCACACACCTGGATTATTGCCGTTACCTCTTAAGAGTGTGTGCGTTCTCTGACGCTCATAGAGTGGAATGTATGAAAAGTGATTTTACGATACGGAAAATGGCTGCAAAATATAGGAGGAAAAGGAAGTTTTCTATCAAATTAAAGTCACCAATAAAATAGATTAATGTAGCACACTCAGAATGAGTACAGTGAAAGAGAAAAACACACTTTCTCCAGAAGGAGTGTTTCTAGGGAAGACTTTCAGACACGCTAAAATTAAACTGCTCTCTTAGTAACTGTTGTAACATTGGTTCATTACAGATGTTACTTCTAAGAATAGCATGTTTTCATTTTCCCAAATGTTATATCTAAATCAGCTGTAAAGAGTTTGTGACTTATTAGCATCTGCGAAGATTGTTAAATTGACCCGAATTTTGTCATTGATAAATGAATGCAAAATGAAATGAAAACAAAATTCGCAGATTAAATCATCAGATAATATTAGGCACATATTTTATATGCAACACAACACTGAGAAAATGTACATACTATGTAATTTTGAAATACCTGGATATTGAAATAATACTTGGAGCCTTCCAGGGGCAGGCGCATAGATTGCGAACATGTTTTTATGTAACTGGCCGTCAGCTGGCATGGCCGCCATCATCTGCACAGCATTTAAGTGCACTCATGTCTCACTGCAATGATGGTGCACGTCTTGTCTCACAGGATCTCCCCTTGGGATGTTTGCTTACTTTTGTTTGCTCTTTAATGAAACAAAAACAAAACAAAACAAAAAACCCGGCTCTACCTATACTTGTCACTTTGTAACTTTATAGCCATCCATACTTATTTCCTTGAGGGAAATTTCTAGAAATAGCGGAAGCAGTGATGTGCTGAATTTCTGTCCAGGAAGAAGGTAGCTATCCACCCCCTGTCTCCCAGGCGTCGTTCAGCCGGCTCCTCAGCCAGCACGTCCTTCTCTGCTGACCACCCTCCCTCCCTCCCAGGCATC